TCAAGTACTTTTCTGGCATTGCATTTTTCTTCTCTTTTGACTTTTATATTAGCCTGTTTTGTATTTCTATAATAAAATACTTGAAGCTGGGTAATTTGTAAAGAAAATAAATTTATTTAACACACCATTCTGGAGGCAAAGAACATACTAACATCTGTGTGGCTTGGATGAGGGCCTCATAGATAGCATGTAGGGGAGAGGTCACAAGACAAGAGAAGGAAGGAGAGCAGGGAGGGACCAGGCCTATTCACAGAAATGAATCCACTCCTATAAAACCCACTAATAATCCCTTTAGGAGGTCTGCTATGATCCATTCACCTTCCTGTAGGTTTCATCTCTTAAAGGTCCCACCAACTTGCAGTATAGTTAGAGACCAAACTTCCACGATTTGAACCAGAGAAGCCTTTTTTCTTTATTGTTATTACTTACTATACAATCCTAGGATTATGACATGCATCCTTAACATCCTAGTGTGTGTGTGTGTGTCTGTGTCTGTGTCTGTGTCTGTGTCTGTGTCTGTCTGTGTGTCTGTCTGTCTCTGGTTTTGCAGTGCTGAGATTTAACCCAAGACATTGTGCATGCAAGGTCACTCAATACTCTACCACTGAGTTGTATCCCCAGCCCCCTAGTCTATTTTGAATTAATATTACTTCATGTTCAGTGTTAAGAATTTTACTAACATTGTCTATAAGTACAATTTTGTTACCTTCTTCTTGCTTTGTATTATTTATTGCCTTTGTTTTTTATTTTTGAGAAAGGTCTTGTATAGCCCAGATTGGTGTCCACCTTGCTGTATACACTTAAGTATCCTTGAGCTTCTAATCCCCACCTCCCTCTCCTGAGTACTTGATTTTGTTTGTTTGTTTGTTTGTTTGGTTTGGTTTGGTTTGGTTTGGTTTTTCGTGACAGGGTTTTTCTGTGGCTTTGGAGGCTGTTCTGGAACTAGCTCTTGTAGACCAGGCTGGTCTCTAACTCACAGAGATCCACCAGCCTCTGCCTCCTTAGTGCTGGGATTAAAGGCGTGTGTGTGCCACCACCGCCCAGCTCCTGAGTAGCATATGCTACTCCTCCAGGCTCATATTTGCTGCTTCTCCATCTCTATTTTCTAGTGCTATTATTTTTTTAGGCTATTCAGTAGGCCTGGGTTTTTTCTGTTCTTGTTTTGATGCTTGTATATAAGGCAAGTACTCTATTAATTACTAAATCATGCTCAAAGCCCAGGTCAGCAGTCCTTTTGAGAAGATTTTAAGCTATTGTGTTACTGATGTATTTATCATTTCTAGTGCTCTTCATTCTTTCTCATGGATCTAGATGTAACCTAGAAACATGATAGTTAATCTTGACTGAACTAAAAATGACCTACATTGTAAGGTGCACCTCTGGAGGTATTGGTGTTTGCAGAACGTTATTGTGGTTTTTGCTCTGACTGCTTTTCTTTTTTTTAAGCTATTGACTAATGTGCCTAAGTAGAAGCTTCAATGTGTTTGCTCAACTTAAAGTTTAGATTTCCTTGGAGTTATGAGTTTCTATTTTAGATTTGGAAAAAATTTTAGCCATGTTTCTTCATAACTTTTTCCTACATTATTCCCTTTCCTCCTTCTAAGATGCTAATTCCAATTGTGCATATTTCAGACTAGTTTGATTTTATTTCATAAGTCTGATGATCTGTTCACTTGTTTATTTAATTTAATTTATTTATTTATTTTGGTTTTTCAAGATAGGGTTTCTCTGTGTAGCTTTGGAGCCTATCCTGGCACTTGCTCTGGAGACCAGGCTGGCCTCGAACTCACAGAGATCTGCCTGCCTCTGCCTCCCGAGTGCTGGGATTAAAGGCGTGCGCCACCAATGCCCGACACTTGTTTATTTTTTAAGGTAATTTATTTTTATTTTATGTGAATGGGTGTTTTGCTTGCATGTGTGTCTGGACACCACATACATGAAGTGAACGTAGAGGCCAGAAAAGGGCATAAGACCCTTTGGGACTGGAGTTTAGATGGTAGTTAGCTACTACATGAGTGCTGGAAACCAAACCTGGATCTTCTACAAGAGCAACGAGTGCTGTTAACCACTGAGCTATCTCCCCAGCTCCCATCACGTACTTTTCTAAAGATTTATTTTTGTTGATGTGTGTGTGTGTTTCTGTGTGTATGCCATATGTGTGTGGGTGCTTGTGGAGAAAAGAGTGTCAGAACCCTTGGAGATGGAGTTAGAGGTGTCTCTAAGCAATGTGTGTTCTGGAAACTAAACTTGAATCCTCTGGAAGAGCAGTATATTATGTGTGTGTGTGTGTGTGTGTGTGTGTAATGTCAGACAAGTACTTTATCATTACATTATACCGTCAGCCCATATTTATGTTCACTGATCTTTACCTTTTTTCTTTGTTTATTTATTTACTTAGTATGTGTATGCCATAGTTCACAAGTGGAAGTCAGGACAACTTGCAGAGTTGATTCTCTCCTTTCACTATGTGTTCTGGGATTAAAGTCACATCAGTGTGGCTGGAAGCACCTTTACTGATTGAGCCATCCTGACAGTCCCATTAATCTTTGCTTAATGCTAAATTCTATGTGATGTTAAGCCTAACTAACTTTTTTTTTAAACTTTAGATAACTGTATTTTTCAATTCCTGAGTTTCTGTGTTGCTCCTTTGAGTTTTCAGTTGTCTTGTAAAACTAACTTTCTGTTCATCCATTTCCATTTTGTCCATGATTTTTTCTAAATTATTGACAGATATATATCTTTATATATCTTTGTATCTTCTAATATAAATTAGCATGTGGGTAACTCCAGGACCTGAGTCGTCTATTGAGCTGCTTCTAATCTTATTTGATGTAGTGTCTCAACAGAAGGTAAACAGATAATTCCCCACTCCAGATTCCATCTCCCCCCCCCCCAGTTCACGTCTTTCACAAATTTTCCTTTGTTTGGGAGCTGGGATAAGAGACAAATCAATTCTTTTGCTGGGTTAGACCATGTTGCAATTTTAAATGTTCAGTTTACTTCTAGTTTCAGATAACTAAGTAGTAAGCTCAAATTCTCCTTCATTGGGTTTGTCTGTTATGTACCCAAAACCAAAGAAACTTTTTTGCTTTCAGCTAACACAAGCTTCCTGTGAGGTTTCACAGGGGGTTGTTTCTTTGATCTCATCTCAAGTGACGTGCATGGGGGCGGTGCTGCAGCTGTACCTAACTCTAGTTAATGGTGCTATATATGACATTGATAAATTTCACAAACATAATGAGGAAAAGAAGCCAGATGCCAATAAGCCTGAAATAAGATTCCATGTACGTGAAATTTAGACTGAAGTAATTCACAGTGTTAGAAATAGGATCACTGTTCCTTGTGGGGAGGAAGCAAAGATAGGATCAGAAAGGGATGAGGAAGAGTTCTCACAAGCTCTACATTCTAAAACTTTCTTGAATATGTGCTTGTGATTTGGTCCCTTTTTTGTGTGCATCTTATAGCTGGGTAAGCCACTCTTGCATCAAAGCCCAAGCCCAAGCCATGAATCAAGCATGGTGAAGCACATCTATAATCCTGGCAGTCAGGAGATTGAGGCAGGAGGATTAGAGTTTGAGTTAATAGTGAGAAGCTGTTTCAAACACAAATTAAAAAAAAAATCAAGACATTTATAAAAACACATGAAACACAATTTGTATCTAGAATATTGTTTTAAGTTTTTTTTCCCGTGTGTGTGTGGGGGGGGGGTGTGCGTGAGAGAGAGAGAGTGTGCCCATAAAAACACCAGAAGAAGGGATCACATTCCTTGGAGCTAAACTTATAGGTAGTTGTGGGCACCCAATGTAAGTTCTAGGAACTGAACCTAGATCCCTTGCAAAAAAGCCAGATGTGGTGGTATGTGCCAGTCAGCTCAGCACTGGGGAAGTGCCAATAAGAGACCTTCAGAGGAGGTATATGTGGTTGTCTTATGGCATTCTCACAGGCACACACACAGCTGTCAAGTTACTTCACATCTATTGCATCACCATCAGAACAGGGGAAGCAGAGGATAAGATCTGAGAGAATCCTTTCTCTGTTTTATCCTCTAGTGTCCACCATAGTGGAGCTCAACAAGATGTCTTCAGCAGAGATGGGTTTAAATCTCTTGACCAGGTGACCAGCTCAGAATTTAAAATAAAGTTATCACTTGCCTTATTTCATGTTCTTATTCAGAAAATGATAGCTGTTGTTAGAGTCCCTGTAATTTTAATTTTTGAAGAGGCTGAAGGAGGAGGATCACATGAGCCTAGGAGTTCCTGAGGACAGCGTGGCTAACAAAGCAAAACTCGAGCCTCAAAAAAGTAACCAAAGATAGTCTGTCAAATTGTAAATAAGCCTGTACGGTGGGCAGGCCTGAAAACCCAATTCACAAGGAGTAGACAAAAGAGAATCCTAAGGATGAGAGACCTTGTCTCCCCCAAAAGAAAAATTTAAAAATACAGCCAGGTGTGGGGGCTCATGCCTGTAATCCTAGCACTTGGGAGGCTGGGACAAAAAGATTACTGTAAATTCTAGGCCAGCCTGGGCTACAGAGTGATCCAGTCTCAAAAGCAGAAACCCCCAAAGTAAATATTGTTTGATGCTTAGATTGATAAGGGTATCTATGCTCACAAAAATACCTGCATTTACCCTCCAAATTTTAAAAAATTTCATAAATACAGGTATATAACTACAATAAAAAAATCACATGTAATTTATGTCGCCATGGCTTGTTAACTATCTCTATATAGTAACTGAGGGTTTTAATTTTAGAAGCAGAATAGTGATGTTAGTTCAAGTAGTCAAAGACATTTTGTAGAGTATAGAAGTGGGAATCATCGTAGTTTACAGGTCATCCCAGGGAGAGGGCAAGAGTGTGCAGAAACAAGCCTGTGTGAGTCCCTCCCACATTTTGAATAGCTTGGTTGTTAAACTGTGTGCTAGGCAACAGCCTTGCTTTCTCTTCTGATGAGAATTGAGAGTTTGCCTTTCTTATTACTGTATTTTTATAAAATTTTCAGGACTAAACCCTTTGAGATGAGGAAGGTTGATCTCTGTTCAAGCGCTGAAGGGACTGAAGTGATTCTGGCCACCTCCAGTGATGAAAAGCACCCACCTGAAAATATCATCGATGGGTAAGAGTAACTGCCCCTGATGTCCTACTTCCAGGCTTAATGTTAGGGAGCCCTATTTTATAACGACTGGCACTACTAAGTAGTTTAATAAATATTTAGTGAGGTAGATGACTTCATAGTGTCTTATTTGTGGAGTCATTCTTCAAACTAATTCAATTGTGAATATTTAAGGTTTTTATACTTAATAATTCTTAGATTGACCTCTTTGGGCAAACAGGTTCAGTTTTGTTTTGTTTTGTTTTCAATTTATTATCTTTCTCAGTGCTGGAAATTGGATCCAGGGCCCTCCTAGGGTAAACTGTTCCCTCATGCTGTTCCCTCAACTCTTTTTCTGTTTATTTGTGCTTTGACTTTTCTAAGACAGGGTCTTACTGTGTAACCTAGATTTGTCTTAAACTCAAAATTCTCCTGTCTCAGTTCAGAGCCCAGGATTATAGTTGTGTTCCACCATTCCTAGTTTGCAGATAGGTGTGTGTGTGGGGGGGGTGGGTGTGTTTTAAATTTTATTTCTATTTTATGTATGCTGGTGTTTTGCTTATATGTAGGTATATGTATCACATGTGTACAAAGTTCAAGGACAGAAAAAGGTGTCAGATCCCCTGGAACTGGAGTTATTAGATGTAAGTTACAGTTGTGAAATGCCATGTGGGTGCTGGGAACTAAACCCAGGTCTTCTGCAACAGCAGCCAGTGCTCTTAACTGTGGAGCCGTCTTGCTAGTTCGTAAATAGATTTTTTGTTTTTGTTTTTGTTTTTGTTTTGTTTTGGTTTGGTTTGGTTTGGTTTTTACAGACAGGGTTTCTCTGTGTAGCTTTGGAGCCTATCCTGGCTCTTGCTCTGTTGACCAGGCTGGCCTGGAACTCACAGAGATCTGCCTGTCTCTGCCTCCCGAGTGCTGGGATTAAAGGCATTTGCCACCAACACCCAGCCCATAAATAGATTTTTAAAAAGTGATTTATCACGACAAAAACCCAAGACAATAACTTCATTCTATGGAAGAATAAATTTTAATATCTGGTTTTAGTTTAATTCTAAATTTTCTTGGAAATAGAAATATAAAAACATTGTTACTTCCTATATACTGCCTGTTTGCTTACTGGTCTAAACAACATTTTTGCTGATCGGAATGCCTCACTTCTTGCCTTTCAGAGACTTATTAATTATGAAAGCTTAGCCTTAGCTTAGCTCTTATAACTTAATGTTTATATTAATACACATTTGCCACATGGAGTTACCTTTCTTCCATTCCTGTTTCCTCTCCCTGTCTCACTGGAGAATCCGTGAGCCTCTGCTTCCTCAATTTCTCCTTCCAGTTTCTCTTACTTTCTGCCTGGAAGTCCCACCTGTTCTCTCCTGCCTAGCTGTTGGACCAATCAGAAGGTGCCTCAGGCAGAGACACATCTTTACAGTGTGAACAAATATTCTCAAGCATCCTGCATTGTGTGCTTCATTACAATTTCCACTTGGCCAGGGCTTGTTTATTCTAGGTAGAGGTGACCTTTAACTCCAAGAAAAAGTGGCTAATGGAGAACACACCTCTTTTATTTATTTTAAATTTTTGTTTCATATGTGGGTGTTTTTCCTGCACATATGTCTGTACACCAGATGTGTGCAGTGCCTGGAGAGGCCCGAAGATGATGTCAGATCCCCTTGACTGGAGTTACAGACCATTGTGAGCCACCTTGTGGGTTCTGGGTCTTCTGGGAGAGTAGCTGGTACTCTTAACCACTGAGCCATCTCTCTAGTCTAAGAACACCTCTCAAATCATTCTGGCTTATTATTCTTCTAAATCCTCTCAGTGTGTATACTTAGCCACAATTGGATTGGTGGAATCATATCACTTTAGAGCTGAAAGGATCTGTTAGATTATCTTTATTTTAGACTTGTAGGAAGACAGGTGTACAAATTAAACACTGGTTTTAATTATTGGAGCAGAGCCAGTTGTAAGATGGAGATGTTATAAATCTCCATAATATATTATTGTACTTGGGCAAGATCTCAACAATCAGATCAGACCTCTTCCTTCAAGGTCAGTTGCTGCTCCTTTCTAACACCTTCTCCCTCAGGCAGGGTTATTTCATGTCTTTGCTAGGCTCCAGGGGCTCAGTTTAAGTCCCTATTATGAAATTGTGTGATATGATTTTTTTGTAATTGTTTATGTTAGTGTCCTCTCTCAGCAGAATTATTGGAAATCAGTCTGTGTTTTGTTTGCCTTTGACTCTAGAGAATCTTGAAGTGCCTGTTGACTAGTTTGTTGGTTTAGAACACCAAATATTGTTAGACTTGATAATGTTGGAAAGCATGAGCATGATTTATATGCATGCACACATATGTAAATGTATACACACACTTGTATAGGGTTTTACAATTTGGAAAGTGATAAATACATATAAAAAATTGTCTTAAGCTGGGCATTGTATCTCATACCTATAATCTTATAGTACTGGGAACCTGAGGCAGGTGGAGAACTGCCTTGAATTCTAGGCTAGCCTGGACTGCAGAGTGAGCCCCTGTCTCAAAGAGGTGGAGGGCACTGAAGAGGTCTCAGAGGTTAGGAGTGCTTGTTGCTGTTGATGAAGACTAGAATTTTGTTCTCAGCACACATGTTAGATGGCTCTCAACCTCCTATAGCTCTGGTTCCAAGGGATCTAACATCCTCTTTTGACCTCTGTGGGCAACAGTATGGGCATATAGCATAAACACACATGCTTGTGTATGCGGACACACACACATACACATAAAGCAAATGAAGCTTTTTTTTATCTATTTTGGGAAAAAAAAGAATATAAGAATGTCTTTATTCTGCCATTTTAAAACAAATTTTTTTGTTTGTTTTTCGAAGTATTTTTTATTTTATTAGTTCAAATTAGGAACAAGCTTGCTTCACATGTCAATCCCTTCTCCCTCTCCCTCTCCCTCCTCTCCCCCCCAGCATCCCACCTGCCCCTAGCCATCCCCTCTCCACTCCCCAGGCAGGGTAAGGCCCTCAAAAGGGGCTCCCCAAAGTCTACCACATCATCCTGGGCCAGGCCTAGGTCCTTCCCCATGTGTCCAGGTCAAGAGAGCATCCCTTCTCATGGGATGGGCTCTCAAAATCCCTTCTTCTTCTTTTTTTTTTTTTTTTTAAGACCTTACATATTTAATACAGTGCGCGTTACCCCTGTACAAATGGAAAAAAAGTAAGTTCAACATTTTTAGATCAATATGGCTGTTAATATTTGTACAATGCTAACTCAACACGGTAAACTGGGATACTTTTTTCCAAAGTTGACAGCACAGCTAAAGTTTCCAAAAATTCAAATCATGTATGCATATATATATATATTTATATTTATATAAAAAGACCAATAATGGCAGTATGTTATGCATCAATAGCAGCAACAGCTTTTCCCAGGTTCTGCAGTCATTTGAACAAAATTGTAGAGACATCCAGCACTCTCCATTTAAAAAAAAAAAAAAAGTAAAAAACAAAATCCCAGAAAACAGCACAGTTCTGTTACTCTTGTGGAACCTGGCACCATTTTTTTTTTTTTAAATTAGCTTCTCAATCATCATCTGGAAGGAAACCATTACAAGCAACATCATTAAAAACAGCTCTGATAAAGCATGGTTACTACTATGTA